CTTGTTAAAACACGATGAATCAGGTGGGACGCTCTTCTCCAATAGCAATTCTTCGGTAACCATGTAAATGTATTGACCAGTCAGCAAGTTTACAACAATAAGAACAAAAAACAACAATTCAAAAGCAACAACAAATTTATTTTGTTTCGAAAAAGAATGCAACCAATAGTTTTAATTATATCTGAAGAGATATAAATCTCTATTTTAAAGTTGGTTGCTAGTCACCTGAAATGACTATATAGAGCTAATCTCATGATCGGGCGCTCATTACATACAACAGGAAAAGAAACGACAGTGGTCGTGTGTCCCAGTGCCTAGTAAATCGGAAATCTTTCCGAAGTAAACTGAACGACACCTAAAATACATTATAATGATTATTTTGTCGTATTAATATTACATTTCTATTTTTTTTTTCTTATAAAAACAAATTCCCTTAAGGGTCCGTCACGTTCTTTTTTAACTAGGTTGTTCACAGCCCTCTATTTTCTCGAATTTTTATTCGATCGTTGAACGCGCGGATGAAATCGCGAGAGAACTAGACGCCAAGGCTAAACGGGAGACTTTACAGCTCACCTCCCCGTCCCCACCGCCAAGTGCTTCGTGCTCGCTTTTTCTTTCACCTGCGTTGAAAAAGAGAGAAGCTATGAACAGCCTATATATATTTTAACACACTATAAACACCCTGTCGCACTGAAAACTGAGCAGAGCAACGTGCCCCTCAGCAGTCACTATCATTCTTCGTTGGGTTTCATCAATACCTTCTACACAGATTTTAGTCTTGCGCACAAGCTCGCCATCTTTGGTGTATATATGCAGGTAAACGTAACCAACTCCTACATCAGCGAGGACGACATGTTCACTTGAATGGTAAAATGCAATTCTACGTGTATGAAGACTAAACGTGAGTTTGAATTTAGAAAGATGGTCACCGTGTTCACTGAACATGTGTACGTAGGAGTCTGTGTCCAACACAATAACACGGTCATCACTAGCAAGAGCCAGATCTAATACAGACCTCAAAAGTCCTTCTCCAAAACTGCGCACAAATTGTCCATCATTCCCGTACACATCAAGTACACAACCTTTCTTAAAAAATCTGTTGTCCATTATAACAACTTTGCGCTTACTATCGACTATCATAGCAGGACGGTTATGGTAGTCATTCCTCTTCACAGGAAACTGGTGATGCACTTCCCCGTTGTTGTTAAACATGTATAACATTAACTCAAATCTTGATACAAACTTATACAATTTGACCAGTACCTAGAAGTTGTCGTTTATGTCGACGGCGACATCAAGCACTTTAAAAATCACTTGGTCTACAGGGAGACTGAAATGATCCATAAACTGTCC